GCTCCCTCTCCCCCCACCTTCTCTGCATGCTCCGCCCCCACCCCGGGCGGGGGTGTCTAAAAATAACAGAGAGTGAGCGCTGGGTGTCTCCCTCCCTGCCCAGGACGCCGCCGCGAGAGGGACGAAGCCAGCCGCCCCTCACGTCCCCGCTCCCGGCCGGCTGAGGGGCGAGCGGGTGCGGCCGCACTCGGGAGACGCGCGCTGAGTCGTGTGCACGCGTCCCCGGGGGAGCCTGCGCTGCCGCAGCCGGGCAGTGGCCGCCCGCACCTGCCGCCCTCCCTCCCGGCCGCGGAAGTAGGGGCAGGAGGGGCAGCCCTCTGACCCGGCGCCAGGGATGTTCAGTCAGTCACCTGATCCTTCTGTAATAAGAAAGATTAACGACCCTTATGAACCTTTTTCTCTCCAGGCGAGCTACCTGTGTCCCAGTTTGTTGATTGATTTAACTCATCCTCATTGTGCAGCTACTGTGCGTCAGGTACTGAGGTAGGCGCTGGGGGCCCAGAGATGGAGAGGGCGGGGAAGAAGGAAGGAAGGGAGGAAGAGAGGAGAAAAGAAAAGAAAAGAGAGAGGAAGAGGAAGGAGGGAAGAACTGAAAGTCCTAGCCCTCGAAATTAATTACATTCTAGAGGGAATGGAGTAAAACAAAAGAAGGTAATTGTGGTGAGTGGTTTATGTTAAGATAAAAAAGGAGAAAATAAACTGTGACGTGGGAAGAGTGTACTGAATAACTTCCCATTGCCTCTCACCCTTCATCTCGGAGGCTGACCTGTGAGTCCAGGTTCCATTGATGGGAGGGACACAGGAGGTCAGCAGGCTGGAGGAGAGGGAAGTGGGGATACTTATGCTGCCTCTTGCTGCAAAAGGCTAGAGGATTGGCCACACCACCCCGCTGAAGCCTGCAACTCTGTCTGGGGCCTCTCCTTGGGTTCTCTGAAGGTTCCTGGTCTCCTCTTGTCCCGTCCCACTTCCCTAGGCCCAGTGGTGATAAAAGCTTCCCCAGCCAAGTCTGGTTTCTGGCCTAGCGACTTCTTGCTAATGATCTCTTAATAAAATCTTATCAGCCACCCCATTTGAGCATGCCTTCTGTCTTGCATGAGAGCCCAACTGATGATCAAGGAAGGTTTATTCTGATAAGATGACGTGATGTGGTGACATGAATGAGAAAGATGTTAACCGTGCAACAATCTGGAGAAATATTTCCAGATGGGTGCAAAAGCCGTGAGGTAGGAATAAGCTTGGGATGGGGGGTCATGGAACCCACAGAAGGCCAGCCTGACTGGAGTGTGCTGAGGAAAGAATCAGGAATGATAGAGTGGGAGAGACAGACCAGACTGGGGGTTGGGGGGCCAGACCACAGAGGACAGGGTAAGAAGTCCGTGGATGCCTCAGTAGCTAAGTCTCTCTTCCCTGTTCAGAGTCCAAGCTTAGCGTTTGTCCAGTTCTGCTGCTATAATAAGGGGATGGAATAAAGCAGGCCTGAAATTCCACTATTACTGGCTTTGGAGTCAGACAGGCTTCAGTTTATTTACTTTTGAAACACTTAAATGGCGCTTGAATTGTGCCAGGCATTGTTTTAAGTGCATTACAAATAATTGACTAACTCATTCCCTAGTCCAGTCCTGTGAGATAGACTGTTACCTTCTCTGCAGAAAAAAAACAGAGGACGGAGAGGGGTGTCACACAGCTGGTGAGCAGTGAGTCCTGAATCAAGCCCAGACAGCGTGACGCCAGATCTCCTCTTAACCACACACCAGGCTGCCTTAGCAGCCCTGGTCCAGAATCTGCCACTGACAATGTGTGCCTCAGTTTCTTCATCTCAAATGAGGTTGAAATGGCAACATTTCAGCAAATCATTTTGAGGGGCAAACAGAAGTTCTGAATGTGAAAGGATCAAAGCTGGTCCTAGCGTACAATTAGTGCTCAGTACAGCCAGCTGACTGACCTTTCCATCCTGCCTTCCAGAAAGGAGGGAAGGAAAAGGAAGTTATAAAGAAGGCAAGCAAAGGAAGAGGGCTAGTCAAATATAGTCCGAAGATGACCTTGTCTCCATGAAGAAACATGGTAAAGTAAAATAATTCCTAAAGTAACTTCGGAACACTGACAAGAGATGCCACGTTGGGCAGATCCCACTGCGTGGAGTAACCAGGAGGAGGGGAAGCCCGCTGACCCAACGACATATCTGAAGCTGTTTGAAAACAAGCACTAAGATTCAGTCCACCAGGGGAAGGGTATAACTCTGTGGTAGAGTGTGTGCTTTGTGTGCACGAGGTCCTGGGTTCAATCTCCAGTACCTCCATTCAAAAAATAAATAAGTAAATCTAATTACCCCCAAAATCAAAATTTTTAAAAAGATTAAATCCACCATGTCTCTGAAGTATCTGCAATCAAAGTTTGCATTCAGACTAAAACATTTTTTTCTTTCAGTGAAAATACTTTTAAGTTCTATAATAACAAAGGAACATCTGCTTTTCCTGAATTCTACTACCAAGTTGCCAAAGACCTAAAGATTTACAACTATAATAGTTTAAACCTAGTGCCATTGTCAATGATATTTACGAGTCACTGTTAAGCACCCACTATGTTTAAGAGATTGTATTAGCATCAGAAGAATCCACAAAGGGACACACAGATTTTTCTCTCTAGGAGCTAATAATTTTGTTACTGAAATGACATTTTCACTTCTGTATAATCTAGTTTTCAAATATGAAAGTAATATGTGTCCACTGGAAAAATTTTGTAAAATATAATGAAGAAAAATCTGCACAAATGATAAATGCTAGAGATGGTATGGAAAAAGGGGGATCCTCCTACACTGTTGGTGGGAGTGTTATTTAATGCAGCCACTATAAAAAACAGTATGGAGATTCCTTTAAAAAGTAAAAATAGATTTACCATATGATCTAGCAATCCCACTCCTGGGCATATATCCAGAGAAAACTCTAGTCACAAAGATACATGCACCCCAATATTCATAGCAGCACTATTTACAACAGCCAAAACATGGAAGCATTCTGTGGGTTAACATCTCACTTTCTTGAGGCTGTCCTTTGAAGCACAAATGTTTTTCATTTTAATGAACTCTAAGTATCTTTTTTTCTTTTTGTTTGTTTTTTCGGTGCCATATCTAAGAAAGCATTGCCTAATCCAGTGTTGTGAAAATTTATGCCTGTGTTTTCTTCTAATAGTTTTATAATTGTCATTCTTACGTTTAGATCCTTAATCCATTTTTAGTTGTTTTTTTTGTAAAAGCATGGGTTTTGAGGTCAAACTTAGTGTGATGGTCTGGGTCTTCTGAGAAGCAGACACTAAGATGGAATTAAAGGTGCAAGTTTTATTAGGGAGATGACTGTGAGAGAAAATGCTAGGAAAGCAGTCAGAGCACAATGCAAGTCTGACCTGAGTGAAGAGAGAGAAGGAAGGTCAAGTAGAAGCATTGTCATAGGCTGCCTTTCAGCCCAAGGAAATTGCAGTGAGGCCATGAGAAGGTCCGTGAACCAAAGTCAGGTGCCACAAGAGTCCTGGGTCTCCCAGAACAAGCCTGCCTTTGTGTCTCTGCCATATTCCTGCCATATTTAGTAACTGGTTGGGAGCAGCCCAGTGGGAAACGCTGTTCAATGCAAACATAGCAATGGACTTCAGAGCACAGCAACTAGGACCCGTGGTCAGTGCAGCTCCCTGGAGGGCATATTTCTTGGAGCCACATGTTACACAAGTGAAAATGTTATTTAACGTCTCTGAGTCTCAGTTTTCTTGAATCTCTTGCTTCCTTGCCTTGCACTTGGAAATCAGGGGTTAATAATAGCTTTGATGATATTACATATTAAAAAAAAACCTATTAATATATAAAAAATTATAAATCAATTGGACAAAGACTAAATTTCATTGTGCATGATACTTTGAAGACTGGCAGTTGGTGGTAAATAAACTTCTCACCCTCCAAGATCTGACTTAATGTCACCTTTTTGATGACATCCTTAGCAGCCACGTCAAAACTAGTCACCTCTTCTTCTGTGTTCCTATAAGGTAGTGATTCTCAATGTAACAAAGTAGCTATGAGAATCTTTAGGAAGGGTTTTGAAAAATAGTCTGAATCCATCACTGCTTTTATTTTTAAAGCCATTTAAAAATATGTGAATAATAATTTTAATTTCCCAGACTGTGACAGACTAAATAACTTTCCTGATACAAAACTCCTAGAAATGCCACACAAAATATAAAAAAATATTTTTTACATGAATAGCTGAGCTCAAAAGAAATTCCCCAGGGGGCAAAATGGAGAAAGAACATAAAACTAGAGCAGTGAGCTCGTAAATTGATCGTTGACTGCCCTGCAGAGAGACCCAGTGAACAGTGGCT